GTTACAGTGCAAATCACACTGAGCCTGTAGGTGGTACTAACAATGGCAACACTGACTGCCCTCCTCCATTCACACTATCAAGATGACATTAAATTTGCCTTCACTGTTGGAAACAAGTCCCTTGTAAACATTAAGTCTTTGCCTTGAGAGAAAATCTCTCCCATTGTAATTAGTCTTAATGACATAAGAACTCATAATGCCAATAAACATGTTGTCAATGGTTTTGGTGATGCCCCTTTGAAATGTATGCACACTGACAACTACACAAAAAGCTTGTGTACTGTACCGCAGTGAATTTATGTCTACTTTCATACAAACATGGATTATAACCCCCCTCTATCCACTATGTTCCCTCTTTATATGCCTTAGCACGGCAATAACATGTCTTGCCAACAAGAAAATTGAAATTATGAAAATGAAATTGAGAGTGTGTCTGTGTATCTGGAGGATTGTGGTTGTCCAGCTCCGGCCATGGGGGACTCGACTGATCCAGGCCCGGATGACTGACGTTCTAAATATTGGATGAGCTCATCTGTGACCAAAACAGGAGGCAGGGGAAGAGGCCAAGACTAGAAAACTGGAGCAAATGCTGTCACACAATGTGCACTTACACGTCCGCCCACAACAACTACACAGACGCTCCCTTTTCTTGCTCATTCTATCTAAAACCGACATGTGCAAATACAGTATCTACAAACATATATATTTATATATATATATATATACACACACACATGTACACTCGCAGACTTAAACTGTCACATGCACAAGAACCTCAACCTCCATCACAGCATAACATGAATAGCCAAACTCCTCCAGCTGCAGCAGCTTCACGTGTGGCGTCTGCCTGCTCACGTGCAAATTATAATGAAGCCTATGTGAGCGAGAGAGAGAGAGAGAGAGAGAGAGAGAGAGAGAGAGAGAGAGAGAGAGAGAGAGAGAGAGAGAGAGAGAGGGAGAGAGAGAGAGAGAGAGAGAGAGAGAGAGAGAGAGAGAGAGAGAGAGAGAGAGAGAGAGAGAGAGAGACAGAGAGAGAGAGAGAGAGAGAGAGAGAGAGAGAGACAGAGACAGAGGGAGAGACAGACAGAGAGACAGAGAGAGAGAGAGAGA